CCCTTTCCAATGAAAAACTTCCATTGAACCCAAGGACACTTTCTTTTGCCTTGGGCTGCACTTGAAATGCTGGAATTGTAGTTCACATTAATATACTGAGATTTTAGAGGTGGTACAAAGGAATTTCCACTTTATTTGAAACCAGTCTGACCACATGAGCTACAATAAGCCCTGTTCTGGGGGCTCCCATTAACAGCTAAAGACAAATTGGAGGAGGTTCAGAAGAGGGGAATCAAAATACGGAGGTGTATGGGGGAAAGGCTGAATTGAGGAGTGGTTGAAGAAAGTGTTATATGTTTAGCTGGAAGAAAAATAAATGAAGATTTTAACATTCTGAATATTTCTGAGTTCAGTAGAAGGCAAAACCTGTTCTCATCTTTGAGCACAGTAGTAGATTTGACATCAATGTTACAACAGTTTTCAGGGTAGAGACAATAAAAGTTGTTACATTGTTTTTATGTTGCGTTTATTTATTATTGTGAGCCGCCCCGAGGCTTCGGCGAATGGGGTGGCATAGAAGCTTCCTAATTAAATGAATAAATAATAAAATAAAAGTGAATATTCAAGGAAGAGGGTCTCACTTCCCTAATGTCTTTTATACTGACCCTATGCTGGAGGTCCTTCATACAGTGTCTATGAGGCTCTTCAAGGAGAGATTTCTAATATTGGATTTCCTGCATGAGAGTGGATTTCATGATATTTATTTATTTATTTATTTATTTATTTATTTAAAGTTTTTATATGCCATCCCCTTGCTACATTGCCTCGGGACGGCTCACAAAAGTAGTAAATAAAACAATAACAATTACAATTAAAACCTGGAAACACACTGGCTGCATAATAAAATATATAAATATGAAACATGATTAAAATGCTGTTTGAATAAAAAGGTCTTTGCCTGGCACCGAAAAACAAATAAAGATGGCACCAGGTGGACCTCTCTGGGGAGCGCATTCCACAGATGGGGCACCATCACAGAGATAGCCCTCCTCTGGGTACTTTGTGTCCTGACATCTCTCACTGAAGTCTCCCGGAGGAGAGCCTCTGCTGCCAATCTCAAGGGGCGGGAGGGCAAATATGGCCGTAGGCGTTCCTTTAGGTATCCAGGTCCCAAGCCGTTAAGGACTTTATAAGTGATTACCCACACCTTGAATTGAGCCCTGACTTCAATGGGGAGCCAGTGAAGCTGGTAGAGGACTGGGGTTATATGAGAATAACGTCCAGTCCCCATCAGCAACCTGGCCCCTCTATTTTTCACCATCTGAAGTATCCGGACTGTCTTCAAGGGCAGCCCCAAGTAGAGCACATTACAGAAATCCAGCCGGGAAGTAACCAATGCATGCATCACTGTTGCTAGGCAGTCGTCCTCCAGGTAGGGACGCAGCTGACGGATTAGCCGAAGCTGATGGAAAGCGTTCCTCGCCACTGCCAACACTTGAGCTTCCAAAGTCAGCTTCAGGTCGAGGAGCACTCCCAAGCTGAGGACCCTGACCTTTAGAGAGAATGAAACCCCATTCAGGACAAGATCCAAGTCACCTACCCAGGAGTTTGAACCACCCACCAGCAGGACTTCCATCTTGTCTGGATTGAGCTTCAGTTTATTAACCCTCATCCAGCCCATTACCTCGGCCAGGCACCGGTTCAGTACAGCCACTGCCTCACCTGGATTGGTTGAAAAAGAGAGGTAGAGCTGGGTATCATCAGCATACTGATGTCTCCGCAGCGCACACCTCAAGATGATCTGTCCCAGCGGTTTCATGTAGATGTTGAATAGCAAGGGGGACAGAATAGACTCCTGCGGAACGCCATGGCATAGTTGCCATAGTGCAGAGGTAAAGTCTCCCAGCATCACCTTCTGGAATCAGCCGTCCAGGTAGGAGCGGAACCACTGCCAAGCAGTGCCTCCTACTCCCAGTCCCCTTAGCCTATCCAGAAGGATACCATGGTCGATGGTATCGCAAGCTGCCGAGAGGTCCAGGAGAACCAGCAGGGATGCACTCCCCCTGTCTTTCTCCCTGCACAGGTCATCGTACAGGGCGACCAAGGCAGATTCAGTACCATACCCAGGTATGAAGCTGGACTGAAATGGATCCAGATAATCAGTCTCATCCAAGAGAACTTGGAGTTGTCCTGCCGCCACCCGTTCCAACTCCTTGCCCAGGAATGGGATGTTGGCCACCGGTCTATAATTGGCAGCTATCTCTGGATCCAGGGATGCCTTCTTTAGGACTGGCCTGACCACCACCTCCTTTAAAGGGGCAGGCACCCAGCCAGCCCTCAAAGAGGTGTTGATGACTTCCAGGGTCCAGGAACCAATCCCATCTTTGGCTTTGGACAGTAGCCACGATGGGCAAGGGTCCAGTAAACAGGTGGTGGTATGTACTTGTCCAAGCACCTTGTCCACATCATCAGGCCGCAATAACTGAAACTCATCCAACAATATGTGACCAGACAGTAACATTGGCACCTCCCCAAAGGAATTTGAGTCACTAGTGGAGTCCAGCTCGTGATGAATCTGAGCGACTTTCTCTTTGAAGTGCTGGCAAAGTCATCACAGCAGGTTATCGAGGGTGGTACAGGATCTTTCTTGGGGCCTGGCTGTACCAGCCCCTGTACTACCTGAAAAAGTTCTGCTGGATGGCACTGTGAGGAGGCAATGGAAGTGGAGAAGAATTTCTTCTTCGCCACCCTCACCACCACAGCATAAGCCCGATAATGGGCTCTTAAGTGTGTTCAGTCAGATTCTTCCCGTGATTTCCTCCACCTATGCTCTAGCTGTCTCCCAACCTGCTTCATCACCTGTAATTCAGGTGTGTACCAAGGGGATGAACGGGCTCTGCCTGGCAGGAGAGGACGCTTAGGAGCAATCGTGTCAATAGTTCTGGTCATTTTCCTCTTGCACAGTTCGATCAGAGCATCGACAGGAGCACCAGTCTTATCAACCGGAAACTCCCCCAGAGCTTTCAGGAATCCAGCCGGATCCAGCCGGCTCCAAGGGCAAACCAGCACAATAGGGTCCACACCCTTACAGAGGGAAGGGCCCCCATCAAGCTCAAACCTCATGAGGAAGTGGTTTGACCATGACAGGGGAGTCAGACACAGATTTCTCACCCTCAGATCAGCCTCTTCCTGCCCTGTTGAGAAAACCAGGTCTAGCGTGTGTCCACATTCATGGGTTGGGCCAATGACATGTTGAGACAGCCCCATGGCCATCACGGAAGCCATGAAGTCCTGAGCCACCCCGGTCAGATCAGACTTGGGATGGAGATTGAAGTCCCCCAGGACCAACATCCTGGAAGTCCTCAACACCAGGTCCGAGACGATCTCTGTCAGCTCAGGCAGGGAGTCTGTTGAGCAGAAGGGTGCACGGTACACCAACAGAATCCCTAATCTGTCTCGGTCGCCCAACTCCAAGTAGAGGCACTCTTGACCCAGCCTTGAGAGGACAGGAAGACCTGCAAGGGAAATAGAGGCTCATTAAACTAAAGCGACCCCCTTCCCTCCCCCCGCCCCGGGCATGGCCGATGCTAAACCAGATACCCGGGTGGACACAGTTGAGAGGGGGATACGTTCCCCTCTCCTGCCCAGGTCTCTGTGATGCAAGCCAGGTCGCCCCCCTCATCCACAATCAGATCGTGGATGAGGGATGTTTTATTATGGACCAACCTGACATTAAGTAACAACACCATCAGGCCCAAGGGGCAGTTGATAAGCATACCCGGAACCTTCCAGTTGAGGGAATAGCCAGAAGGGGGAACAGGTGTCAACCATGTGTCCCTCCTTCTATGCAGACCCATTAATCCCCCAATGCCATAATGCCCATTGCCCATGACCATCCCAATGGTGGCTCCTGCGCACTCCCCAGGCAACCCCGTGGAAGCAGCCAAGTGTGAATCCATTAAAAATGAGCATAATAAAATCAGATTAAAACAATTAAAACAATAAAACCCCACTACTGCCCAGTTACAAATTGAGGAATCTCACCCACAAAGTCTCTGGCCAGCCCAGCTCCCGCACGGCCTTGAATGGCCCAAACGGCGTCATTGCCCTTAGGCCAATGCCCTCCAACCACCAGCCCAAGGCCGTCGGCCCCGGTCACAGCCGGCGAATTAAAGCCCATGGTTCCTCCTCCTCCGTGCCCCACCCCCAGACCGGCGCAGCTCTCACCCACGCCAGAGGGGGGAGGGCAGGAGCAGGGCCCGTGGAGTACTTCACGGCAGGTGGAGGTGGGCCCGATGGCCGGCAGCGTCCTAGGGGTGGTCCTGTGGTGGCAGTGGTCCCACGACAGCGGCGGGTCTTCCGGGCAGCAAGGGTGGACTGTCCGTCCCTTCTGTTGTGATACTGTTTAACATGTAAGTATTTCTATGCAGATCACCTATGGATCATTTCTGCCAGGGCAAGGTGGCAAAGTCCTGTTTCCTTTTCTGTATCAGATGGTTCCAACTGAAGTTCAACAGTACATGGGATTCATACGGTTTCTTCAGCATTTCAGATGGACATGGATTGGGCTTCTGGCTGTGGATGATGACAAAGGGCAAAGATTCCTGCAGACAATGGTGACAATGCTTTCCCAGTATCTCATCTGTGATGCCTTCATAGTGAGAATACCGAAATGGGATTATGTGGAACAGGCAATAGAAGTGGTGTTGCTGCACTGGAAAAGTTACTGTACCATCGCTGAGAGTAAAGCTAATGTAGTCTTTCTTTATGGAGAAGCTCCCTCTTTTCAGTCTTTGACTCTGTTGCTCTTTCTAACACCCTTCTTGGACTTGGCTCCACTGGGTAAAGTGTGGATTATTACTTCCCACTGGGATTTTGCATCACATTCTCTTCAAAAGATGTGGGATATGCAAACCTTTCATGGCTCTATATCTTTCTCCGTTCACTCTAATCAGCCATTACAATTCCAAATGTTTACACAATTGGTAAGACCAAGATGGGCCAAAGAAGACGGTTTTATCCAAGATTTCTGGCAACAGGCATTCAATTGTTTATTAAAAATGCCTGATGTTCAGGAGGAGGGAAAGGAGACCTGCTCAGGAGATGAGAAGCTGGACAGCCTTCCTGGAACTTTCTTTGAAATGAAGATGACCGGCCACAGCTATAATATATACAATGCTGCCTATGCTGTTGCATATGCTTTGCACACCAACTATGAGAGCAGCTCCAAACATAGAAGACTGGCAGAAAGAGAGAGTCCTGCACATCAAAATTTGCAACCATGGCAGGTAGGTGCATCACAAAATATTTTAACCAAGGAGTGATAAACTTATACTCCAGAATTAAAAAGAGGTCCAATTCTACATAAAACAATGCCAGCAAAAATGTTCCTGCATTTGAATTGGTAGTACCAATGCCAGTGTGTGGGATCCACATTTTGTCATATTTGGAAAAGATCCACCAAAATCCATGTGATTGTAGAATTCAGTGTGCATCCTCTTTGTGTGATCCATTTGCATCCCACACATTTCTCCAGGTATCGCTAAATGTGAATCCAGTCCAGAAAAGGGTGATTTTTATAATGATTACTGAGAATCTCTCTCCAACATGGATTCAATGGAGGGAAAAGGCAGCAGCAATGATGGCATCTCCTATATTGGTCCAACTTAGGAATACTTCAGATGCTATTGGGAACACACCTTTGCATTTCATTATAATTTTCACTTTTAACCTAGCTCCATCACTTTCTGAGCAGCATCTCATTCAATAACAATGCTGGGGACATTGTGCATTTTAATGAAAATGGAGAATTGGTTACACAATTTGATGTTACCAACTGGTTGATGTTCCCCAATGGCTCCATGGCTAGAGTGAAAGTTGGAATGCTGGACCCCCAGGCTCCTGCAGGCCAAGAGTTAACCATTGATGATGACCAAATCAGTTGGCATACCAGCTTTAATCAGGTGAGCCATAGCCACAAATGCCTAAATGTTTAAACACAACACAGCTGATTGGCAGGGCATTTACAAGCAATTTGGTGACCAAGTGATACCTGAAAAGTGATGATACAGTTTGGTAATGGCAAGTGCAGCCTTCTCTCCCTCATGGCAGATGCTCAGAAACCCACAAATGTTGTGGATTTTAAGCATCCAGTGGCATGCTCATCCACTCCCATGCTCATTCCCCATTTCAGTTAGAAAACAGTGATTCCCTGCCTTCTAGTTATACAGCTGTTGAGTGGAATGGAAGGAGGCTGGGAAACTACCAGCAGTCAGTGCAACTCCACAGCCTCAGTTACCTTCCTTTCCTCTGGCAGTCACCTTCTCTTTGAGGCAGCCAGTATATTTCTCTCTTCAGTGCATGGGCACAAAATGGCCTCAAGTCTCCCAGAGAAGGATCAAGAGACATTTGGATTGTACCTTTAAACTTCATTGAGAACAGGCTTATGGTGCAGGAGTTCTTTTCAGAATGACATCTTTTAGCTCCAGAAACTGCTAAGGCAGCTCTGTTGTACTGGAAAGCCTCACACTAGTTCTGGGGAGTGACCAAAGTCCCAAAAAGAAAAGAAAAATATTGGGAACTGCCCAAAGTCCCACTCGATCTGGCGACTGCCCAGAGTTCTGCTGTCATGTCATAACAACATGGAAATCACTGCTTTCAAAGCTGCTGGTATTCTGCAACATCTCTTATGAGTTTATTAAATGATTCCTTGAAGAGCAAGTATGAAGTGGTAAGCCAACCCTTCTGCATTTGGGTGCTTCCTGCTTATCCTGCTAAAATGATTATAGAGGTTCTTCCTCCCACCAATATCTGCTTTCACAATAAAATCGCAATTTCATGGGGATGGCATGTCCAAGCAGCTTTCCCTAGCTGACAAAGATTTCAGCCTCACAGATTCCTAGTGGGACACAATCTCTTGGAACTTGTTTAATGATCCAATTTCCATCCAATCTCTGCATAGCATCTCTGCACAGAGGATTACTTAACCTTGTCCCATCCATGCTTTTCTACAGGTGGTGCCCACTTCCATGTGCAATGGCCATTGCTATCCAGGCTCCAGCAGAAAAAAGAAGGAGCGAGAGAAATTTTGCTGCTATGACTGTGCTCCATGTCCAGAAGGCATGATCTCTCACCTGAAGGGTATGTGGCCTAATGTGCAAACACAACCTCTTTATACAGCTTATTCATAAAGTATTTATCTGGGGAATGTGTACTCCATCAACATTGATTGAAAAGCTCTTTGACACAGAAGTCTTTTAAAAGAATCAATTTAATGAACACACACACAGAGGACAGGTAATAGATACAATATTAAAGAAGATACAGAAAACATCAAACATCTTTCTCTCTGCCAGAATGAGCAAAGGTACAGGGAGGCAAGGCTCATATCCCTCATCCCTTAATGTTTTAGGTTCAATTACCAGTCTCTACAGCTTTGGATGTGCGGCGAACTGGGTTATAACATGCCTTGAAGTGCTGCCCAATTGCAAAGCTTTTGTAATTGGAGGGTAACACAAGAATTCCAACATTCACCATGGTAAAAGTGACAAATCATGGCAAGAGGTTTACTAGTACACTGGAAAAGTATGTAGCATTATTATTCCCGCATTCTACATGAGTTTTCAGACAGCGAAAGAACAAATTTGTCCAAAAGCTAATTTCATTCATAGCTTAAATGATTCATTTTGTCAGCATCAGTAATTTTCCGCCCTTCTTTTCTTATTTCTAGATATGGATGCTTGCGTCAAGTGCCCAGATGATCAATACCCTAACAAGGAACAAACACAATGTGTTCCCAAGATTCTGAGCTACCTCTCTTATGAAGAAGCTCTAGGCATCACATTGACTAGCTTGGCTATTTCATTCTCTTTCATCACAATGTTCGTGCTTGGCACTTTTCTCAAGCACAAGGACACCCCCATAATCAAAGCCAACAACCGAAGCATCACCTACATCCTTCTCACCTCCCTCCTTCTTTGCTTCCTTTCCACCTTGCTTTTCATTGGGCAGCCTGCAAAGGTGACCTGCCTTCTGCAACAAATGGTTTTCAGCATTGTCTTCTCTGTGGCCCTTTCCAGCATCTTGGCCAAAACCATCACTGTGCTTCTGGCGTTTGTGGCTACAAAGCCAGGGTCCAGCATGAGGAAAAGAATGGGGAAAGGACTAGCCAATTCCATTGCCCTTTCTGGCTCCTTAATTCAAGCAGCCATTTGTTCACTTTGGCTAGGCACGAACCCTCCATTTCCAGATGTGGACATGCATTCACTGGATGACAAAATCATTCTGGAATGCAATGAAGGGTCTGCCCCCATGTTTTATTGTATCTTGGGCTTCTTGGGATCCCTGGCTATAGTCAGCTTCTCTGTGGCTTTCCTAGCCAGGAAGTTGCCTGATGCTTTCAATGAGGCCAAGTTCATCACCTTCAGCATGCTGGTCTTCTGCAGTGTGTGGTTGTCCTTTGTTCCAGCCTACCTGAGCACCAAAGGGAAATATGTGGTGGCCGTGGAAATCTTTGCCATCTTGTCATCCAGTGCTGGACTGCTGGGTTGCATCTTTGGCCCCAAATGCTATATTATTGTACTCAGGCCTGAGCTGAACAGCAGGGAGCACCTAATAAGAAGGAAAACATGAAGCAATAGATTTTTTTCCCCTGGAAATGTTAATGATAGGGATGCTCCCCCTCTCCCTTAATTCCCAGTTGTCATGTGCTCCACCCTACAGCATTAGGGTTTGGTTGCTTCCCCTGCAAATCCGCATCGCCACAAACTGGGGAGCAACCTGGCATGAAATTCTTGCCACAGGACCCACACTAATGCTGACAGGCACCCTGGGATCCATGTAGGCTCTGGTACTTTACAGTCATGTGGGTAGGTCTACCAGTGTGTCCTCCTCACTGCCGCCATTCCTATTTATCTCTGTGTTCTTGGTCTATCAAGCCCACCTCACTTTCGATGTGAAGATACTTAGGAATAAACAAAACTACCTGTATCAAAGATGACAGATTGATTATTGAACACGGAGATGACATATACAGGATTACACCCAAGCAAAAGAAGGCTTTTTCTTGAGTAGACCAGGGGATGCTCCATGGACCTCTGCAGTTTCCTCAGGAAGTGACACATCAGTTCTTCTCCTCAGGCTGAAAATGAAACGCAGTTCCTATTTCCAGGAAATATTGTTTAACACAACATAACATGGCTAATAATCCTAAATGGGATAAAATTCTATTGGAAATCACTGTGGTAAAGCTGACGGCCACATATCCCCATGCACAGATACCTTTGGCTGAAGCTAAATATGTCTCTGGGGAAGGGAGCCCATTCTCTTGCCATTTTATTTTACTATTATTAGTATTAGAAGAACCCATGGTGGCTTCTCTTTTATCCTCAGACACACACACCCTGTGGTAGCCTCAAAATCAGGGCGAGCAGAATAGGATTCAGAAATTCTGTGGATCCATCTCTGTTTCACTTTCAGAATAGCTCTTGCCATTTCAAACCTCATCCTCATCCTCAACCTCATCCTCAAACTCATCCTGCATTTGCAGGCCACCCTTCATCTTCCAAGCAACTCAAGATGGCTTGTTCATTTTATCCTCATAGAATCCACCCAGTAAGAGCCTCAGAATCAGGAAGTGCAGAAAAGGGATTCCAAAGTATTTGGACCCTGCATTGTTCCTCTGGGCTCTGAGAACTTAGAGTTGTCACTGCTGAGACATTTTCCAGAGACCCAGGCCAGCACTCTTAACTACCACACACCACTGACTCTCAAACAGGAAAACAACATTTGTAGAACGCAGGACAATATGTCTCACAATTTCCCCAACCATTATGCAATGCCAAACACCCTGTCAAGCTGATAATTTCCCAGTAATTATCTAAATCACTGGTTTCCATTCTGTTACTGCATGATTTTCCATGGCATGCACGCAAAAGCCACAATCAACAATCAGCATCTGTAAAAAGCTTCAAACTCAATGTTATCCTCAGATCTCAAGGGCAGGGCATTGCCTTTCATTTGGATGATCATTTCAGAGATGTCTCCAACATTGGAATCTCCACTTAAAAAATCTCTTGAAATTTAATGTTGTAAAATTGCTGTAGATGTTGATATTTAAAAGAAAAAGAAGCTTATAATTCTGAAGCATCATTAGTGCCTAAGGAATGCAGATAAAAGATAACGGGCACTGATGGACAGATAGAAGTATCTATCAGGCCACTTTACTGGTGTGCAGTTTTTCCCATTGTCCAGATATTCTATTAAAGAGCAATGGAGCAATACAACATTCAATGAAGATACTAGCAGAACGGGTCATACAAATCTTTTAAAAGCTAGTGATGAGACATAGGAATGGAGCTTTGCAGAAGTTTTCTCAGCAGAATGTTCAAGGTGATGCTGCTACTTTTATTGTTCCTTCTGTCATACTGTGTGCAAGAGATGTTTTATCAATTGCACATCAACTGAAGATGCCCTCTACATTCGGCATAGATTTTACCAACCTGGTGACCTTGTCATCAGAGGGATTGTTTCTCAGGTCATCTGTCTCTATAATCACCTCAGTTTCATGGAAGAACCTGCACAAATGCTACTAGGTGAACCCATGTAAGGCACAGGTCTTCAGTCTCTCTCTCTTACTCCCTTTCCACATGTTAATCTATTTTAATTTTACTTCATCCTGAAAGCATCACTATGTGTGTGTGTATGAAAACGTTCAACTTCCTCTTTTTTGTTACTCATTTCATCTCGTTGTACTGCAGAAATATCACCATGGTTCATTATTGTAATTCTTTTCACCCATGTATGTTCCCAGACCTCTTTCTGCATTTCACAGGGACAAGTCTGGTTTGTGCAGGGTGCACATTGTAAATCAACCCATGGTTAAGGTTGCTCATGAGAGAATGTGTCTTCTGCAGGCATTTACAGACACACTCCTGTCCCCTGTCCCCAGTTGTTCAGATTTGCAACATCATTTCTACTTTCCGCTTGCAATATTGTTTGAACGGATGCACTCAAACTGAATCATGTCAGAGAGAGTTTTAGCACTTGGATTGTATGGATCTTGAATAATGAGTGATCTTTAACCAACTCATCAATTATAGTCACTTTGCCTCAAGGCTGTATAACTGAATGGCTAAATAGGGCTTTGTGAACAGATTTTGGGTCACTGCATGGCTCCCATTTTCCTGAATATTTTGGGACATTCTGGGGCCAAGCTTCCCAGTTACGTGCCTAGAGTGTGTCCAGGTTGGTAAGCCCTGGCTTCTTTCAGCTATTTTTTAAAAAGAAAAAATCCACCAAACTTTCAATATGAGCTATATTCTTCTTATGTTGGTTTTTATTGCTTTTACTGGTATGCAGAGGTGACAGCTCCAATTAATGCACACAACACAGTATTCAGCAATGCCTGATCTCAAAATACTTCATGCCCTTCCTCATCTTTGGTTAAATATCAGTTTCAAAGCTCTTATCATATTTGACTTCTCTCTGGCATCTTCTTCAACTATGTACAATGATTTTGAGCTTTACCTCTGTCCTGGAAGCATGAAGGTGATGGGGACGTGGAGTCCAGTTCTGTGCCCAAGAACAACCAACATGTCCTGGGCTTGGCTCTTGCTGTGAAGGAGATCAATGAGAACCTCCACATCTTACCCAATATCTCCCTGGGCTTCCACATCCTCAATAGCTACTACTCAGCCAAGATGACCTTCAAGGCCACCCTCAACCTGCTTTCCACACAACACAGGCATGTCCCCAGCTACAAGTGCCATGACCAGACTGTTCTGATAGCTGTCACTGGGGGATGCCTTTCTGAAATCTCTGCCAATGTGGCCCTCCTTTTCATCAATCTTGAAGTTTCCGCAGGTAAGGCACATGCATTTTTTTACAGATGTGACAAACCATCTACTTCATCTTAGTGAACCATCAAGGAACAAGCTGAATGATCTTTCAGTCTACATGTTCATGAAATGTAGAAAAAGTGTCAAAGTTTTTAGTTGGATTCTCTACTTGTCAGGAAGCAGTACATCAACAGAAACCAATCTTCCAATTTGAAACAATTTGACCATGGTGCCAATCAGGGTAGATAAAATAAATTATTTCATTTTTTAAATAATATTTTTAAATTTAAATCTTATTTATTTAAACTAGATTTTTATTTAAATTGTGTTTTTTTAAAATAAAGTGTGTTTTGAGGAAAAATCTATGTAAGGATGGTTTTTCTTTAAGATACATTATAGTCCAAAGTTTATTCATCATGAAATAAGGATTAATTTTTTAATATATAGCATGTTGCTGCATATTTATGTAATGTTTATGTTTTTGTAAATGAAATCCATTAATTGATTCACAATGTCATCGACTTTCAAAGGATTATATAAGGTTATTGGGCAGTTCTTCTATCTAGGAGATATGATCACAGATGCTTGGTTTTAAAGTACTCATAACTCTGTGTCTGCAGAGATGGCATGCTTCTTTTTCTCAGCAAATATGTTATAAAATATATAGAGTTGAGAAAATGACCTTAGTCCCACTTATCCCTTGCAAATTCATGTACCCTCTTAAGTGTTAAGTTTCAAAAAATTAAATGCGTAGAAGATTGTTGGCAGTGGAATAAATCTGCACATGAGGCTATGTGAGAGCAGGAAGGGCAAGCAGTAAAAGTGAAAGTTAAATCTTTCGAGCAGAATACTCCACAAGTCATTGGATCTTTTTGTTTATAGCCTGAAGTTGTTAATATTATTCTTTCCCTAGAAGAAAAAAAGTATAACGTCAGCAGGCCATAAAAGAGACTCAGTTTTGGAATATTTTAATGAAGTTCCTCTTTGTACAGGTAAGGCAGGCAAGCTTGCAAAACTGTAATTTAAACTTAGTCTTTCTGACTAGTGATTTCAATTGTTATTTAAATTGCAATGTAAATTTATTTATTTATTTATAGAATTTGTATGCTGTCCATATCTCTGGACGGCTTGCAACATTAATCAGAATAAAATAAATTAACTATTCCACACTGGCTGAAAATCCAATAAAATACAAACAATACAATTAAAATATCGATCGAAAAAAAGGGTCTTGACCTGGTGCCGAAAAACATATAATGACAGTGCCAGGCAGACCTTTCTAGGGAGCACATTTCATAGTTGGGGCGCCACTGCAGAGAAGGCCTCCTCTGGGTACTATGTCTCCAAACGATTTAATTTAAATCAAATCCTGGTGTCAATGGACTCTGCACCAATGCTTGCTGTTCAACATTTGTTGATTAGTGGCAAAAATGAAGATGCAGAAAGATCATATTTGAGACTTGTGCATCACACTAAAGGGAGGGAGTTGACACTTCTGAAAACAGGTATTTCCTGATAAGGGGTACAATACAGAGTGGCATAAAAATAGCAAAAAGGAATTCTGCAGAAATTAATCTGATGTCCTTTGGATGACATAAAAACAAAATGCTGCAGAGTAGGAGGTTGTGGGGTAATTTCTGCATGCTTGTACTGAAGGTGATGGTGATGTTCCTCTACAGACCTGTATAACACTCCACAGTTCAAAGCTCACACAGCATCTTTTGCTAACCATTGCTAACTAGATTTGATAGAACTCAAGGAGTCATCCTAGCCCTTTTAAAGTGTTGTTTACTG